AAAAAAAATCACTCCAATTTAATTGGATTTAATTAATTATTTTATGGGTTAATTTTCCTGACTCATTTTAGATTTTTTTTTTCTTATCTTTATATGGCAATGATTATCCTAAAAATGAGTGCCGTTCATTATCCGACCAGATTAAATAGGATAAGGATATTTTATAATTGCGTTCGGATAGAGTTCGAGAAGTAAATTTATTATTTGTCGGGGGTTCGGGTGTGGTACAGTAAATGATCTTAGGTACCTATTACCCAAATTTGATTGTAAATAATTATACTTTTATATTATATATTATTTGTAAATTCTTTAGTATTAATGTAATACTTAACAAAAGTAATTTATTAAGTCTTTTGATTTTAGTGTTTAATTAATTTATATTTTATAAGTTACCTTTTATTTTTATTTAATTTTTTAATAATATGCATAGACATCCCATTTGTTTGGGTTTTGTTCATTGATTTTCTATTTTTAATGTTATTGGTTTTTATTATTTTTTTATTTTATTTATTTTTTTGAAGTAAAAAAGGAAAGGCAAATTGAATGGGCATTGAGTGTTTGACTGAACCACATTTGGAACTAAACTGTCATTGATTCAGAATATTGTTTCGAATGGGATTTAGTATTTAATTGAAAATATATAATGAACAAAGCCTAGTTTTGGGAAGGGATCAAAAAGGGGAATCGGATTTAGACTCTAAGATTGAGACTTTGTGTCTAGTTTGGTTTAGGATTAATTTACTATTTAAAGAACCAATATTAGACACATAGGGGAAGAAGGAAAAACAATCAAGAAACAACAACAGACAAACAAGAAAAAGGCAAAAATAGTGCTCTGGCAATGTTTGTTTTTGGTAGTTTTTGGGGTAAGACTCTTGGGTTGATCGTAGGTTTGTATTTGAATTAAAAAGATATAGATTAAGGGAAAACAAAAGGAGAATCGAAGTTTAGGTTTATGAATTTTTTTGTGAAAATTTCTTAGATTTTATGAAGAAATTTAAATTTTTCATTGAGCTTTTCGATGAAGATTGAAGATTCATGCGAAGTTTCTGGTAAAATTTAAAAATTTCGTGAAGTTTTCGGCGAAAATTAAATTTGTTAGTTGAGATTTGCAATTTCTGATACCTATTTTTGGGATTTATTATTATATTTTGGGTTTTTTTAGATTTTTTCATCGATGTTTCTTAGTATTTTAGCGAGAGGCCAAAGCGAAACTAGGAAAAGAGAAAAGGAGAATGGAAAAAATGAAACAAAAATTATTTTTAGGTTAAATACTTCTTTGGAAAAGACAATTTTAAGGTCTAAAAAATTTTGCAAACCCGTGGCATGACCTAACTAGACCAATAAGCTGACCTAATATAAGATTGATCCATTTCACCTGTTTTCTTTTTTATTTTATTTTATTTTAGTTTTTATTTTATTATTAATTAATTAATTATATTTATTTTGTTTATTTAATTTATTATTTATCTAATTTGTTTTTTCTTTTTCCTTTTTCTTTAATTTATATTATTTTATTTATCTATTTATTGTTGATTTATTTATGTATTTGTTTGATTTTATTTGAAAATTAGGAATATGTTAATTAAATAAATGAGATTAAATTTATGTGTTAGCTAATAAATAATTAATTGGATTTATTGTACTTTCTTGTATTTTTTAGAAAATTAGTTTGTTTGTAAAATTTTGAGAATAAATATTAATTATTCTAATGATGAAATTCTAAAAATGCACAAATGAGTGATTTTAAAAAAATTTTGTGAAAACTTCTTTTTCTAAATTTTTCTAGAATGATAGAGAATTTAGATTAAAAATTTCAATAAATGATAACTAACTTTTATTTTCCAATTAAAAGAAAATAGCATAAAGAAAGAGTTTTGGAATTAAATATTAATTATTCCAATAATGAAATTTTTTTTAAAATTTTGTGAGAATGTTGAAAATAGATTAAAATTTTCAAAGAACGGCAATTAACATTTATTTTTAAATTAAAAATAAAATAAAACTAAAATAAAATAAAATTAGTTTCTAAATTAAAAATAAACTACTTCCATAAAATATTAAATTTAGTTGAACAATGGAAACTCTTCAAAAGAACGAATGGGTTTCTTGAAACATTTGAAGTGGGAAAGAGTTTTTAAGAATTCTACTAAAATGGTGGGGAAGATTTAAAATATTTTTCCAATATTTAAAGGATGAAACTTAAACAAATATAACATACCATTTAGTAAAGACCTTTTAGGATAATTTAAAATGAAATGGTACTATCCTTAGGATAAATATTTTAAAATGCTATAACATTCTTCACACGTAATTAAATCCCTGAATCTAGTTTTGATAAGCAGATTAGAACCTATTTTTTTTAAAGACCTTTAGTCATGCTTAGTACCTCTTTAAAAAAATAGATTCATTAAGTAACTAATCACATTTAGACATAAAAATATTGGTGGTGACTGTTAGTTAGTATCTAATGATTGAGTTGTCAAACTTGTACGTTATGATAGTTTAACAACTCTGTTGGAGACAATTTAAGAGTCGAGATAGTAATTTATTTTATATTATCTTATGTTTTGATTAAATGGCCTTGATTTCTTTTTATGTATATTAATTTTTAGTTTGTTGTTTTTCCTTTACTTATTTATTCATTTTTCTTTTATTGATTGTGGGGCACGGTTAGAATGCTTACTATGTTCCTTTACACACACACTAACACATGCTTATGCATAACATAAGCCATACACCTAGATTTTGTCCCTTTTAAAAAGAGGTAAAGTTTTTATACTCTTGTGAGATAATAATTTTTGCAATGGCTAATAAAATACTCTCACTCAAATTGAATCATTTTCATTTATAACCTATGATGGACAAGATTGGAGTATCTTAGTAATCCACTTTGGATGTTAGTAACAAATAATTTGGGAACCTTTAATTTGTAAAAATCTTAGCCCTATGTTAGTTCAAATGTAAATAACAATCTAAGAGAGGGTGAATTGGATTGTCTCTAAATTATTTCTCAAAGATAAATTTTCAAGTAAATGTAAATGAAAAATTAAAAATATAAGAAAATTATAAAATTAAAGTACAAATAAAAAACAATGAATATAAAAGAGTAAGAGTAAAGAGATCAAATACAAAGATTTATAAAGATTTGATCTTTTTCCAAAGTCACTTATGTCCACTCTCTTAACTTTTTTAGCCAAACTTCAAATCCACTAGTAGAATATTGTTTTACAAGTTACAATCTCTCTATCCTTTTAAGACTCAAGATAGCAGTATCTATCCTTTGTAAGATCTTGCACAATCTCACTATAAAACTCTTAAAGAGGATATCACACCTCTTGCTTTCTAATCCCTTTTGGATGTCAAAGAAAATTTGCAAACTATGAAAACTTTTAATAGATAGATGTTTGCTGAATTTAAGAACAAAGATGAAGAGATTATACAATAAGAATTTAGGCTTGAGTAATACAATGATTGGATTTTTGCTCTTTGAATACTTTAGAAATGGTAAATTTTGACTTAAAATGTTTTGGATGTAATCTTTTGCTCTTGAATGTGTAGGAGGCTTCCTATTATGTGGATTTTAAATTTCTAGCCGTTGTAAGTCATTGTAACTGAAAAAAGAAAAGAAAAAAAAGGTCAGTATTTCCTTCAATTTTGGGCTGAATTCGAATTTCTTGCGCAAGAATATCGGATTGATCCTAGTGCTCCCAGATTAAAAAATATAGCTGTTGAATATGGAAATACAAGTTTGCTTTAGAATATTGGCTACCCTTTTAGAGTACTTTTTAAAATTTTTATATGCTGTTAAGCTTGAGCACATATGCTTGCTTATCAAAAGCAGTGATAAAGCTTCTAGTTATCTTGCTTTTCATCTTCACTATTACATTTTTTTGACATAATATTTCAAATTGGTTGTTGACAGCTTGCAGGAAAAAATTCACATCATATTATTGAGGCAACCTTTAAGGCTTTTGCTAGGGCCCTTCGGCAGGCAACAAAATATGATTCGCATCGTCTAGGTACCATACCGAGGTTTACTTGCCCTTTTGAATTAATATTTTGCATCACTTTTGACCAATTAAATGCAGATCTTTGTCACTTACACATTTTCCCTATAAATTTGATTATTTCGACTTTTAATAGTTAAGTTAGTTAAGTTACATTGGTTTTATTGTACTAGTTCATTTAGTGCATTTTTCATTGACTTCAAAAGTAAATTTCTTGACTAAATGATTTCCTTGGTCTTTCTTAAATTTATGTATATTTTCATCTTCACATCTCAGTTCATGCTTCATACGTGCTTCAGTCCTTATAAAGTTGTGAAACATTTATTCTATTCTGCTCACAAGGGATTCTATCACGATCTTGATATCACATGAACAACATACAGAAGATAGGTTAAGTCATATCGTAGACATTTCATTTTGTTGAAGTTTTTGAAATATTTTTGATTTATGATAAAACTGTGGTTGTCTTAATCTTGCTTTAAACTATTGGGTCAAAGTATTTTGGGCTTGAGTTAAAATGTAATGGGCCCCATTAGGGATTAACATAGCCCAATTGTTTTTTTAGATATCTTCTTTTATTTAATTTGAAAGAATGAAAAGTAAAAGAAAAGAAAGTAACAATAATAAGATGGAAGATGATAAATGAAAACTTTTGAGAATAATCCGAAAGGCAAGGAAATAAGGATTGAAATTTTATTTTATTTTATTTATGAATTGGGTTCCAAGATTATCATTTTCGAAAATTACACAAATTTTGAAATTTAATCAGTTTACATCTGGAATTCTATCTCCAAGCTTAATTCAACCCCCATATAATCAACATAATTTTCAACTCTTAGCGGGGATCAGAGGGGAATAATCAGAGAAGAAGCAAAATAGGAAGGTTCGGTTTAGTTAAAAATTATGGGTTTTGATTTAGTAAACAATAAGCAATTAAGTCAAAAAACCTAGGTTCGTGTTTATGAATTTTCAGCTTCTAGGTTTCTAAGCTTAGGGAAAACACACAATATACAAGTGATTATTAACAAGAAAACCAACCAGCAAACACATAATCATCCAATCCCAATACTGAACCTATTTCTTTGAGTTAACAATTAGTAAACTCAATTTCTAGTCTAATCCTTAAATGCCACAATAACCTTCCACTGCCAAGGCCATAGCCATCCCAGAGCTTCAACAACAATCATGGTTACCACCAACAGTCCAAGGTCACCAACACGAGATCTACACAACAACAAAGACAAAGCTCAACATAAGAAAACAGAAAAGGAGGAGACTTTCTCCCTTAGGTTTCGAATCTAAGGTATTTTAAAGAGATTTAAATCTTCAAGTTTGGCGAAAAGGAAGATTCGACAGAGAAGAGAAACATACCCAAATTTGGTGGCCATCAGAGCGGCGGAAAACAGGAACAGAATCGTAACTTCAAGCTCAGATTGACAAAAGCCCAGCAAGTTTATGAAGAAACCAATTCGAGAACATAAAAAAGGAGGCCAGACGAGTTCGCGGAGTGCTTTCCGGACAATTTCGACGACAGTGAATAGCGTGGCACTCACTGGCCAGAATCTGAAAAACTGTGCTGAGATTCATCTGAATATTAGAGAGAGCCTTAGGAGGATGGAAAACACAGATAAGAGAAAAGTGAAAAATGACAACAAAAAAACAAAGAGAGGGCTTTTATAGAACAAAGAAAACGGCATCGTTTTAGGTATAGGAAACCGGGTTTCTTTTGACCCACTTCGAGGGTCTATGCGTCAGCCTATTTCTAGACTCGACCTGTTTGAGCCGAGCTGAACTACGAGCAAATCCAGTCTTGAGCCAACCCGAATCGAGACCTTTTCTTTTGCTTATTTATTTAAAAAAATTTTAAGTAATTTTTTTGTAAAAAAATAATATAAATGATATAAATAATTTTAAAAAATTAAATAAAAAGTTAATTATCAATTTTTTTAAAAAATTAATTTCAAAAAGTATGAGGAAAAAATTGAAATGTCAAATTTTTTTTTTAAAACAAAATAATTTTAAGAAATAAGGAAAGAGTTAAAATATTAAATTTCGTTAAATAAATAATTTCAAAAATTAAAAAAAAAAGTTGAAATATCAATTTTTTCTTAAACAAAAATAACTTCAAAAATTAGAGTAAAGAGTTAAAATATCAAGCTTTCCTTGAAAGAAAATAACTTCAAAATTTTAAGAAAAAATTGAAATATCGATTTTTCATCAAAGGAAAACAATTTCAAAGGATTTAAAAAGAATTGAAGTATCCTTTTTAAAACGATTTAAAGATTTTAAGGAAAAAGTTAAAATATCAATTTTTTCTTAAAATTAATTTTTTTCTAAAATTTTAAAAGAATAAGATAAATATTAAAGATCTAATTATGAAGCCTCTTCAAGAGAAATAATTATTTTCATGTATACTCTTAAAGTGAAAATTTTTTCTTAATTTTTTATCAAAATATTATAGTCAGTTAAGAATAATTTTCAATACATGTAAATTTTTTAAGCTTAATGGATAACATAAGAAACAACTGGTACCATTTTTCGATGAGTATTATGAGCATGTTATGATCTTTTTCATATGTAATTGTATTCTCGGACCTAATTTGGTTGTGTAGACTAGAATATATCTTTTGAAGATACCCAAGTCAAGCTTGGGATTTCTCTTTAAAATAAGAAAAATTTAGTTAGGTGGCCAATTGCACATAAACAAAAAAGATTAGTGGTAAGTTTTAAGTCTATATCTAGCTATAGGTATACAGATTTATATGTTATAATATTTTAGCGACTTCGTTGGGGACTAATCTAGAGTTAGGCCAGCAAATAAATTTATGTTAACTAAGGCCTAATAAATTTGGTGTTTTAGAAAATTTTTTTGTTATTTATTATTTTTTAAAGTACCTATTATGTCATTTATATGCATATGTATAATATGAACTCTATACTCGAGCTCCATCCCTCTATGAGAGAGTATAGTACCTACACTTTCGTAGGGCTTTAATATCTTCGCAGTGGCTAACGAAATACTTTCACTTAAATTGAACTCTTTTCGCTGGCAGCCTATGATGCATGAAAATTGGGGTGCTTACTAGTCTTTCATGGACAAGGATGTGAGTAACAATTTGGGAACTTTAAAATTGTCAATCCAAATCACATGTAGTAAAACTTAAGAAACCAACCTTAGGTTAGAGCCACGCCTGCTCATTATTAGAATATAACCCTTGTTAAGTCATATGAATGGCTTTTTTAAGCTTCATTTGTATTAACCCTATGAAAAGTGGATAAATTTTTTATTATCTCTTATTGTTAAGTTGTTATATGTCAGACTTTAATGAAACATCATATGCATTTAGTCATGCATCATAATATGATAAACATTGGTAGATGTATTCATTTATCCTTTCATATATTGTTATACATACATTCATGTGTTTACGCATTATAATTTGCTATGTGTCAACCATTCACTACAAGCATTCATTCATTGCATATAAGACTCTTATAACAAGTTAGAAAAATCTTGAAAACTTCTTGCATTAACACTTAGTAACATCAACATGCTAATTATGTTACACAAGGTTTAAGGATACCTCTATTGTCTAGGAATTCGATTCAACTTACTCGCCATCAGTACAATATGTATGCCCAAGCCAAATGAATGGAGCAAGAGAATACAAACTACTTTGAGAAAATAGAAAGGGCCTATGAAGAGCTCAAGGTAGAGTTGAACAAAATTCTAAAAGCTTTGAATAGGTTGAATAAAAAAAAACCATGGAAGAAGATGCTAGTCCATAAGACCATCCATTACTGGATGTTGTCAACCTTTTGATACCTTCACGAGTATTACCCATAGCAAGCCTAATCTTTCCAAGTAATCATCATCAATAATTCATGTCTCCTGTCGGATATACCTATCTTGAGATACCTTCTGAATCAATTCAGAGGCAATTCTAAAGTTTCACAAAAAAAAAAAATAGTTGAACCAATTCAAGTCCCTAACTTAGATGACCCAAATAAAAAAGAAAGGGTGAAGTTGAAAGCAGATGAGACTTTAGAGGAATCAAAAGTTGAACGAAAAAATGAACTTGCTAGAAAAAAAGTTATGAGTAGTTGAAGGGATAGACTTTTATGGATCTATTGATGCAGTATGCCTTTGCTTGGTCCCAGATGTTGTAATCCCATTAAAATTCAAGGTCCTTGAGTTTGAGAAGTATGATGGTACAAAGTGTCTAATAACTCATGTCACTATGTACTGTCAAAACATAGGTACCTATACTAATACCTATACTAATGATGAAAAGTTGTTGATGCATGTGTTTTAGGACAGCTTTACAAGCTCAACAGTGATGTGGTATGTCTAATTAGATAGAACTCGTATCTATTCTTAGAAAGAGCTTAATTGAGTATTCATTACACAATATTGCCATATTGTAAACCTGACTCCTGATTGTCTTTTTTTTAGAGTATGGAACAAAAGATGATAAAATCATTTGAAGAATATGCCTACAGGAGGAAAGATATGGCTACTCAAGTTCAACAATCTTTGACTGAAAAGAAGACCATAGTACTCTTTGTTAGTACACTAAATACACCATACTATGAAAAGATGATAGGGAATGCAACGAAAAACTTTGCTAACATGGTAATCTTAAAGGAGATTATTGAAAATACCATCAAGAGTGATAAGTTTGAGGAGGAAGAGACCTCATGTATAAAGAAAGAAAGGATGCCTAAAAGAAAAGAAGTTGAAGCCCAAGCTTTGAATTTTGAGGGGCAATAATTCAAAAGTTATGCTCTATATCCACCATTTATTCATTCTACTTATTATCCCGTAGTTAATAATATTGTACAAGTCCCTTATCAAACTGTTTCACAACCAACTTACCTATTCAATTATCAACCAGCCTTTCAAACACTTGTATATGGGCATATTATTATCACTACACTAGTTTCAAGGTCTAACAAAAAAGTGAGCAATTTAGAGAGATTTAGGAACAACCAAGAGAGAGCTTGCATTGATCCATCTCTATAACATATATTGAGCTATTCCAAAAACTATGTAAGAATAACCTTGTATCTTTAGTTCATTTGGAACCATTGAAGTCACCTTATCCTAAATGGTATTATGTCAATGCCACAAGCGATTATCATAATGGAAAGTGGGTCATTCTATAGAAACTTGTCATACTTTCAGGCATAAGGTACAAAGTTTGATTCAACCAGGCTTGGTAAGTTTCAAAGAATCACGGGGCTAAATGTCAATAAAAGCCCATTGCTTAATCACATAAAGGTATAATTTTAAGAAGAATAAGGAAGTTAAGGTTGGTTAAATGTTGCTAGTCATTTTAGGATTTTTTTAAAAATAATGCTAGGAATTCTTTTATGTAATAAGATTTCATTTTTATCATTTTAATGAAAATGGCAAGAATAATGCATTTCATTACATTTCCTCTTTTATCCAATCCACTATCTATGCTTTGTTGTTTCTCTATCCTTTTTATTCCCATTCTCAAATTTCAAATGATGAATGTTTAGACAATGATAACAATAATATTGAAATTTAATTTTGGAAGCTCATTCATATTAATAAGTTTGATCCATAGTGATTGTTTGAGCAAAAGAAGCAAATGGTGTAAAGATAGCAAATATAATTCATTGAAAAATAAAATAAACAAATCTTGAAAACATTTACCAGTTTGTCTTTGTTCAATAGATTGTTTTCAAAGAAACCATTCACATTTAAGATAAAAAAATTGCCAATTTTATTTTGCCATTCATAAAAATGAAATCACCTATTGCTATCCCTTTTGAGCTTATTATATTTTCTTTTTCTAAAAAGCCTTAACCAAGGATTACCCTCCACAATTGAGGGTAAATTTAAGGAAGAGACCAATTTTGAAAAAAAAAATAAAAAAAAAAGGTGACAAAAGGTTTCAAAGAGAAAAAATAAAAAAGAAAGAGAATAACCCTCTTTACAAAAAGGAAAGCGAATGCCACAAATGACCTAAGGGGTAAGGTGGAAAAGAATCATTTTATGAGTGGATTCCTTTTGGAAAAAAATAGTGAAAAATGAAATGTGGGAATAAAGAATGAAAATCATGAAGAATAGGGCAAAATGTCGAATCACTTTGTATAATGAGAAATGATCTTTTGGTGTAGACCCTTTAAACATATGTTTTGAGCTTATTTTATCCATTTTCTTTGTGACCCCTCATCATAGCTTATGTTGCATGCCTTAAAAGTCTATTTTCATTAAATACAAATGCTTGAACTGAAAGATCATTTATTGGTCTAAAGCATGCTGGTGATAGGATAATGAGGTCCTAATTTGTTGTCATATTCTAGAAATTGATTCAAAATATATAGGAGTTATCAATAATGGATAAAAGTGAAATGAAATGAGAAGGAAAAAATAATAAGAAGGATGTGAAAAAAATAAAAAGAAAAAAGAAAAAAAGAGAAAAAAGGAACACTCAAATTGAAAACCCGAAAGGGCAATTTGAGTTAAAAAATAAAAGAAAAAGTTGATTTAAAAATAACAAAAAAGCAATTAGGTAGAAGATATTACTAAACTGGGATAAAATTTGGTGAGATCAAAATGATTTGAAAATTCAATTGAATGAGTTTTTGAAAAATTTAGATTAATGTTAAACATTGTTTGAATATTTATTATTTGGATATGGTTATATCGTACAAGCATTGATCCCATGTGTGCTTTGAATTTTGTTCTTTTACAAGACTCATTCTTATATTGATTACCCCTTTTTTTCAATTTACCTTATTTTATCTCATTTTTGCACTCCTAGAATAATTAGGGAAACATATGATACATTATATTTGTAATGAATTAAAATGCTGATAAATAAATGAATGATAATGTTCATAAAAGATTCCTATATTCTTTTGAAAAGAAATTCATGATGATAAGGGTAGAAAGAAAATTTAAAAAAAGATGAAAAAAACCTTAGAGAAAAACAAATGTGGGGACCAAGTGATGAGTATGGTGATGGATTAGTTAATATAACCTGTGAGTCATCACCATATGATGGAAATAACATGGATCAGTTGACAGAATCTGTGAATTAATTTTGAAACTATTAGTGTTGAGAAGCTAAAAAGTAAAATATGAGATGGTGGAGTCTTGAGAACCTTATTACCAAAATCGAAATTTCATGGCATTGATTTAAGTAACATCTGCATGGCATGCATTACGTTTGCATTGTTGTTTGAACCATGCATGTGCTTAATTTGGTAAGTATATAGATCATTGATTTGAATGTTGCATTTGTTTTGTTGTTTGAATCATGCATTTTCATTATTTAGTGAGAATATGAATTGTTGTGTTTGCAATATTTGGAAAGCATTTGCATGGCATTCATTACATTCAAAATTTTAACTTTGGTGAGAGGTTAAGAATTTTCATAAGAAGAAATTTTGAACTTTTGAATCCTTACATGAGGAAGGTTTTTTAAGATAAGATTTTGATTCCTCAAATGAGAAAATTTTAATGATTTTTTGGAAGAGGAAAATGTTTGAAATTTTAAAGTTGTGGAGCCTTTGTTTTGAAAGGAGCATTTTCAATGTTGAGAGTGATTTGCAAGACCTTTAGGCATAATCTCTAAAAATTTTCAAATCTTTGAGTTTTAAATGTGAATCTTTTAGCTTCGAATGAGAATCTTTAAAAAATTGGATGTGAATCTCTAAAGTTTTTCTAATAAAAATCTTTAAAATCTTATATGTGAATCCTTAAAGTTTTTCAAATGAAAATTTTTGAATTTTGGATGTGACTCTCTAAAATTTTTAAATGTGAATCTTTGAAATTTGGATGTGAACCTTGAAATTTTGATGTGAATCCTTGCATTTTCAAATTTAAATATCTAAAATTTGGATGTGAATCACTAAAAAAAATCTTTTGAATATGAATATTTAAATTTTGGAGGTGGATTTCTAAAAAATTTACAATTGCAAATCTTTACAATGGTAAAGTTTGAATTCTTGAAAATTTGAATACATTATGAATCTTCAAATCATATGAATCTTGAATTCTTGTGAATCTTCAAATCCTTTAAATATTTAATTCTTGCAAATCGTCAAATCTTGTGAACCTTAAATTCTTGCGAATCTGAAAATCTTACAAATTTGAAAGTCTTGTGAATCTTTAAATTATTAAGAATCTAAAATTCTTGCAAATCTTGCAAATTTTCGATTTCTTGTGAATATCTGAAATTGTTGTGAATTTTTAGATTTTTGTAAATTTGAGTTTTGGCATTTTTTGCAAATCTTTGAGTTCTTTGAAACCTTATGAATCTTTAAATCTTGTAAATCTTTATATTTTTGTGAATATGAAATTCTTGCAAATCTTTTGGTTCTTACAAATCTTTAAAATCTTGCAAATATTTGATTTTTTACGAATCTTTTGAAATTTTGTGAATTTGAATTCTTGTGAATCTAAATTCTTGTGAATCTTTGAATTCTTTGCAGCTTTGCAAATCTTTAAAATTTGTAAACCTTTGAATTTCAAAATGCAAACCTTTGATTTTAATTGCGAATTCTTGAATTTCAAATTGTGAACCTTTGTATTTTGAGTTGGGAACCTTTAAATTTCAAATCTTTGAATTTTTTTTATATATAGTCTAATAACAAATCTTTATTTCGAATGAGAATCTCTTAATTTTTAAATCAAATTTAAACGTAATGAATGTTTATATCTTTACATAATTTCGTTTCATAGAAAATGCACAAATAAGATAGTTGTAAACACCTCATTTTATGGAAGGTCTTTTGAAATATTTTTATCTCTAATAAAATTGTGGTTGTCTTAATCTTGCTTTAAATTATTGTTTCAAAGTATTTTAGGCTTGAGTTGAAATGAAATGGGCCTGGTTAGGGATTAACATAGCCTAATTTTTTATTTTTAAATATTTTTTATTTTGAAAGAATGAAAAAAAAAAAGTAATAATAATCGGATGGAAAATGATAAATGAAAATTTTTTAGAATAATTCGAAAGGTAAGGAGGTAAGGATTGAAATTTTCTTTTATTTATTTTTTTATGAAATGGGTTCCAAGATTATCATTTTCAAAGATAACACAAAAAATTTGAAATTTAATCAGTTTACATCTAAAATTCTATCTCCAAGCTTAATTTAACCTCTATATAATCAACATAATTCTCAACTCTTAAGAGGGATCAGAGAAGAAACAAAAACAGAGAGGAGGGTTTTGGTTTATTTAAAAATGCTAGTCTTCCGTTTAGTAAACAATAAGCAGTTTAGTCAAAAACCTAGGTTTGTGTTCTTGAATTTTCAGCTTCTAGGTTTCTAAGCCGAGGGCAAACACACAATACATAGGGGGTTGTTAACAAGAAAACTAACTAGCAAACACATAATCATCCAATCCCAATACTGAGACTATTTCCTTTAGTCAACAATCAGCAAACTTAATTTCTAATCTAATCCTTACATTCCACTATAACCCTCCACTGCCAAGGCCATAGCCATCCGAAAGCTTTAACAACGCCATAGCCATCCGAAAGCTTTAACAACATACCCATCCAAAAGCTTTAACAACAATCATGGTTACCACCAAGAGTCCAAGCTCACCAACTCAAGATCTACACAACAACAAAGAAAAAGTTCAGCACAAGAAAACAAAAAGAGGAGAGGACTTTTTCCTTAGGTTTTGGATTCGAGGTGTTTTAGAGAGATTTATGTCTTCAAGTTTGGCGAAAAGGAAGATTCGACAAAGAGGAGAAACATACCCAAATTTGGTGGCCATCGTAGCAGCGGAGAAGGGGACCAAAACCATAACTTTAAGCTCAGATTGACAAAAAAATCAACAAGTTTATGAAGAAACCAATTTGAGAATGTAAAAGGGGAGGCCAAACAAGTTGGCAGAGGGTTTTTGGGATAATTTCGATGATGGTGACCAGCGACTGGTGCTGCACTCATTGGCCAAACTCTGGAAAACTGATCTGAGGTTTATCGAAATATTAGAGAGAATCTGAAGAGGATGGGTGAAGAGAAAAGAGGATGGGTGAAGAGAGAGAATAGCAAAGTGAAAAATGACAGAACAAAAAAAGGGAGCTTTTATACAACAAAGAAAACGTCATCGTTTTGGATAAAGGAAACCGGGTTATTTTTGGCCCGCTTCAGGGGTTTGTGCGTCAACCCATTTTTAAACCTGAACCAGCCGCCATCCAACCCATTTGATCAACAGTTTCCAAATCGAGTTGAGTCATGAACCGAGTCAAACTACAAGGTGATCCGTTCTTAAGTCAAGCCAAGTCGTTTATTAAGTCGAGTTGAGACTTTTTTTTTTGGTAAATTTTTTTTGTTTATTTATTTAATATTTTTAGCAATTTTTTTTGTAAAAAATAATAAAAATGATTTCATAAAAGAAGGAAAATGTTAAATTATCAAATTTTTCTTGAATAAAAATAATTTCAAAAAGTGTGAAGAAAAAGTTAAAATATCAATTTTTTCTTAAAAAACAAATTTTAAGAAATGAAGAGAGAGTTAAAATTTTAATTTTTCTTTAAATAAAAATTATTTCAAAAATTAAGGAAAAAATTGAACTATTAATTTTTCCTTAAACAAAAATAACTTCAAAAATTAGAGGAAAGAGTTAAAATATCAATATTTCCTTAAAAGAAAATAATTTCAAAATTTTGAGAAAAAGTTGAAATATCAAATTTTCCTTACAATTAAATTTTCTAAAATTTCAAAAATATAAGATAAATATTAAATGATCTGACAAATGAGCCTTTTTAAGAGAAACAATTATTTTCTTGTATACTTCTTAGGTGAAAGAATTCTTTTAATTTTCTACCAAAATATTGGAGTGAGTTAAAAGTAATTTCCAATACATGTAAATTTTTAAGGCGTAATGGATAACGTGAAAAACAACTGGTGTTATCATTCTATGGCCGTTATGAAGGAGTTATAACCTTCTTTATATGTAAACATATTTTCAGACTTAGTTTGGTTTCATAGATTAGAATTTATCTTTTGAAGATATCTAAGTCAAACTTAAAACTTTTTTTTAAAATGAGATAGATTCAGTTAGGTGTCTAATCACACCTAAACCCAAAAAAAAAATTTGATAGCAACTCTTAAATCCATGTCTAATGATAGATCTATAAATCTATATGATACGACACATATAATGGTTACATGATGTCAATGATCGCATTGTTTTCAAGAAAACTTCATTTAAATGCATTGATGGAGGATGGATATGTCCTAATTGAGAGATTACATTATCTAAGACTTTTATTTTATATTTTTTGGGTTAATTGTAACACTTATATGTGTTTGGGATATTAACATTTAGGTTATTTTATATGAGACAAATTATACAATAAATCTTTGTACTTTAGTCAAATGATGGAATTAATCCCTTTACCTTAATGTGTTTAAATTGAATCCTTATACTTCAATAAATTGTCAAATTCAATCAAATTGTTAGCAGTTTAAATTTTTTCCATTAAAATTGACGACATGACATCTTGACTCTTTTAATAAGACATTTTTCCTTACGTGGCCATTGACTTTGTTGACGTGTCAAGTCCATGTGGTAAAATATGATGTGACTAAAATTTTTTACCACATCAACATTTTCATAAAAACTTTTCTCAAATTTTATGGCTCATCCTTATACTTTGATTAAATGGTGAAATTAGTCCATTTACCTTAAAATGTGTTCAAATTTAGTCTCTATAAATCAATTAATTATTGAATTTAAGATTTGAACCAAAATAAGTAAAATAAAACTAAAATAAATCACAAAAAACTTTTCAATGCAAATAGATCGAGTCATAATAGAATCAATGCATGGGTAAATGCACGAGTTGCACTATACCCATTCTCTAAAATGGTGTTGTTTTAACCTATTATAAAAACAAAAAATTATTTTTTTAAAAAAAATTTTCCTCTTTTCTTCTCTCTTTCATCCTCGTTTTCCTTTTACTTCTCTCTACAACTCTCATTCAATGAACTCATATTTCAATAGGATTTTTAGAAACTAGTGATTGAAAATTTGAACGATTGCCAAAAAAAAAAAAAAAAAAACCTAAAATCCACCAATGCCCAAAGATCAATCATCAATACTACCATTTTGTATCACCATCCAAAGCAAATTTGAGCATAACGCCATAAAAATTCTAAACCTAAAACCTCTAAAAAGGAATTTCTCAACAAAAAATTATTTCTAATTGTTTTTGTTGGTTGTCTTTGTTTTTGTTGTGTTATTTTGTCAATTGTTGTTGAATTCCAAATCAACCTTTCTAAAAAATTTTCGTATTTTCCTTTTTTTTTTTTTTTGGCTTTGACTTCTTGACTTTCATCAACTAAACAATAAAAATAAATAAATAAAATAATAAAAAATAAATAAAATACTTTTAGGTCTTTAAATTTAGGTTTAAAATCCAACTTCACAATTAAAGCCCAATTGATCCAAAATCGATTTTAGAATCCAATATCAATACAAAATTCAAAGCCCATTTAATATCCAAAAAATTTTCAAACAAAATGAAATGTCTATAATTGCTTTTATTGTTGATTGTGTACTGGGCTTGTTAGGTTTGTTGGTTATGGGTTTCTTAATATAACTTTTATGTTTCTGTCATTTTTAAATTTTTTATTTTTTATCTATTTTTTGTTTTTTATATTTCAAAAATATTGAAAATAGAAATTAACAAAAAATGAAAAAAAAATCAAAATAAATGGATGAATAAAACAAAGATAAAGAAAAGATATAGTTTAGTTTATGTTGAGCTTATAATCTAATATGAGATTAACCCAATTTGTCAAATTAAGTCCAATTAATAATTCAAATATCCAAAAAATTTTATCTAAATATGAAGAAAATGTCACAGTTGAATTAATAATTTATGTTTTTATATGTTATTTTAGGTCAAATTTTAAATTTGATAATTAATTTATGTATAAGGATCAAATTTAAACACACATTAAGATTAAAGAACTAATTCCATTATTTAAAGAAAGTACAGGGACGAGCTGTACAATTTAAGAAAAGTTAGCATAGAAAAATGATGACTTGTTAAAAATTTTTACCATATCATCATTTTTGATCACGTGGACTTTACACGATAGCAAAGGCAATAACTATATATGCAAAAATGTCATGTTAGAAAAGTCAAAATGCTATAATTTTAATGAAAAATGTTTGCACCATTAACACTTTGACTAAATTCGACAATTAATTGAAGTTTAGGGATCCAATTTAAACACAATAAAATAAAGGGAGTAATTCCATCATTTAACTAAAGTACAGAGAACTATTGTATAATTTGACCTTTTATATCAATCGGTGTTTTTATTCTTTTCCAAATATTAGGGTTTTAGTTTTATTTTAGTATTGTGTTTTATTGGGGTTTTGGGTTTAGTTATAAAAACCTTTGTTATTTTAGTTTCCATTAAGTTTTGGACAATGAATATTTAAGATTTTTGAGATTTTTTTTGTTTATTAATGAAGAACAAAAATACAATGGAGTGGTTGGTCAACTTACATGGAGAAAAAAGAGGGGAATGAGGTTTAAGGATATAAACCTCTTTAAAATTCTGAAATCCATGTATTACATTCCATTTAATTTTGGAAGCAAGAAAAGAAGGGTAGAGCATCATTTTAGAATTACAGGATTTAAGCTGCATTCGGATTCTATCTCGCCTCTAGTGGAAATGTGATTTCCATGCAAAATTATGCTAATCATGCTGAAGATATCTAAACACATGTGCCACGCTATTGAAATTTTACCAATCGATTATTGGACTATTTTGGTCTTGATGACAACTATATTTTTTATGCTTTTTTATTTAATTTACTTTTTTATCCTTCAAATTAAGTTATAGAGACAAAAATGTTCTTACAACTTAATTTTTTTATTTAAAAATTATGAAATAATAAATAAATAAAATTTATTTATTAATTAATAAAACTATTATTTGGCATAAAATAGTATAATAATTTTTTAATAATTTATTAATTTTATAATATTAAATAATATAAAATTAGTATTACATAGTTATTTTTATTCTAATGTTTTTAATAGTTATTTTTTCTTCTTATTATAATTAATTTCACTATCATTATTTCTTTTTTATCCAAACACATATCTTACCACTAATTTTAATCTCATTGTTATAGTTATCAATCTCACCTCCACTATTATTTTGAATCTCATTAAAATTAATCTTATCATCTATCCAAATGAGCTCTTAATCAAAGATCAAGTAAGATGGTTAGTAATAGAAGAGCATCATTTTGGAATGACAGAATTTAATCAAAGATCAAGCAAGGTGGTTAGTAATGGATGGCATAGATACATATATATGGAAAAATAGTATGCATGGTGTAACTATGGATGAATATGAAATTCTTGAAGTTGGGAATATATCGTTGCCTCAAAAGATGTAAGAATTAATTGATAAAGACATTTGAAAGCTTTGGAAGGAATATTGCCTACAAATGTGTTGTAAGTAGACATGTCAATTTTGGCTTGAATTCAAAAAATCCACCCAACTCACTCAAAGCAAAACTTAGTCCAATCTGATTTGACCATAAAAAGTCAACAATCCATACTTACCAAATCCGAAATTGAAAACAACCCAAACCTTTGTGTGAATTTTTCTTTTAAGGGAAATGTTATGAAGAATGAAAAGTGATGATGAAAAAATGAAAAAAAAAATATGAATAAATGATAAAGAATGGGGAAAAATGCCAAGATGCTTCAAATTATGAGAAATGATCCTTTAATTATATAACATTTTAAACACATATTTGGAACTTACTTTATCCATTTTTTTATGACCTCTTATTATAGCCTATGTTAAATGCCTTAAAAGTCCAATTTGATCAAATATGGATGCTTTGAATTGAAGAATCATATATTGAATTAAGGCATGTTTGTGGTATAATCTAAGGATAATGGGATTATGATCCTTTATTATATTTTAGGATTGATTGGGAGTTCGATGGGAATGTCTAATAAAAGATAAAAAAAAAGAAAGATGAAAAAAAAAAAG